CATTAACGATTTAATACAAAAAATTACCTAAATTAATTTTTTCAATCCATAAACAATTTAAACCCTAACAATTATTCACTAATTTAAAACCATTAAATAAAAATGTTTACTAAACAACTTATTTATAATAATTTCAAAGTCACTTATATTTAGTAGTTAAAGGTTAAACCGTTCACCGCTACCCAAAACGGCTTATACCAAATGTGCTCTGGATCTCTCTCGCACCCAAAAACCTTCTCCCACCGGAGGAGCCAGTCGTTCCCCGCCTCCCTCCTAGGGATGGCAATTTGTTCCAAAACCTGCTAAACTGTGCGGTGATCCCAATTGTGGGTAGTGCTGTAGAATTCGCACTTGAGTGGCCAACCCATTGATTTGCTATTGGTCAAGATTTGGGAGGTCACCGTATCGATTCAATTTCAATGCGGTCTATTTTTATCGATCTGCTCCGTCTTCTTCGATTAGTCGGACGCCCAACCCTTTTTAGTCGTTATAATCAGGCCTAGTCACAACCTGCCGTGGATATTGGCAATTTTAGACTCCGTTTGACCGACTAATTGAGAAAGACAGAGTTCTCTTTTTTAATTTTTGCTAGCTAATTGTTTTCTAAAAATAAAGATTGCCATTTTCTAAAAATTGTAATTTTCTAAAAATTGTAATTTTCTAAAAAACTAGTCCTAACAAATATAACACAATGTTTTGAATTCTATATCTTTCATTCATCTGAGTCTAATGATTTATATACTTGATTTTTTTAATCGTAATAAATATAATTAATAAATTAATATATGTTTGAGTATCAATTAAAGAGTTGATGATTATGCACTGTGTTTCATCTTACTTCTTACATAGAAAAAAATGTAACCATGGCACACGTGGAGGAATGCGATTTATATACCTGATTAATTGATATATACAGTAACACTAACTAAAGTGTTTTCAATTCCATATCTCTACTTTTCACTCATATTATAGTCATACTTCTGTTTTATTGCTTGGCTTGGTCGGCAAACCTACTTGCTAATTGCTAACAAATCATCTAAATTTGCCCTTTGGAGGAGGATTTTCTAGAGATTAGCTTGAAAGGGTGGATCTGTTCTTGCTTTAGGCAACCTTCTAAACAGAAGGGGTTTTGGAGACCTGGTGAGGGTGATGATCTGAGCCTAATGAACCGTGCATGCCTTAGAGTGTTAGTGGTATCAGTTGAGTTAAATCATGAGCTAGACTGGATATGATACAGGATGGGACTGTATGCATAGCTTCTCAATATTTAATGATGCAATGCTTGTTAGGTTTGGATATGGGATTTAAAGCTTATGTTGCGGACTTCATATGGTTTGATAGAAGTATTAATGAGACAGAAGTTTACCTGGTATGGCATGATGTTCAAGTTCTTTTGGAGCTTGTTCCAGTGAGCCTCGTAATTTATTGGAATTTGAAATGCAAGAAATATATGGAACCAGACTTAATTTACAACCGTATGAATCTATGATGCATGGTTGAGCTCATAGAATGAATGAATCACTAAGAAGGTAGCTACACTGATTTTTAAATATGTATTGCCAGTCAGTCTTAGGGAAAAGGATCCAATTTTATTCTTTAGTTGTAGAAAATCTATTTAGGAGCATCCACGACGCGAGTTCCTAGGGTTAAGAGTATTCCCTAGATTAAGAAATTTCCAAATATTTGCTACATTATGTTGTGAAAAGCGTCGGCTTGATGGAAGTTACGTGAAGCAGCTTAGGTGGCAGTAGCAGTATATCAGTGCCATCAAGCCGCCCAAGTTCAGTTTGGTTAAACTGAAACTAACCAAA